CCTTCCTTCCTTCCTTCCTTCCTTCCTTCCTTCTCTTACCCTTCCTCCCTTTCCTCCCTTCCTCCCTTCCTCCCTTCCTCCCTTCCTCCCTTCCTCCCTTCCTCCCTTCCTCCCTTGCTCCCTTGCTTCCTTGCTTCCTTGCTTCCTTGCTTCCTTGCTTCCTTGCTTCCTTGCTTCCTTGCTTCCTTGCTTCCTTGCTTCCTTCCTTCCTTCCTTCCTTCCTTCCTTCCAACACATCTCCGTCGACCACTCAGTCTCGCTCCCCCGCGGCGAGTGCAACTAAACGAGAACCCAAGCATCGGAGATGCTTTTGGGAAAAAAATAGCCATGGAAAATATCTCTAAATATCTCTAAAAAACATAGCTATGGAAAATCCGGTAATTTTTCACGGGTATAACATCTCTAAATATCTATGGGCCATGGTTTCTTCGCAAAGCCTTTGATTACCAGAGGCCATCCCTCTGTGATTTGGCCGATCCTGAAATCCCCAAGTTTGTGGCACCCATTCCTACATATTTGTCTAAGTATATACGTATGTATTATATATATATATACATTATACAATATGTATATATATGTATGTATGTATGTATGTATATATATATGTACAGTATATATAAATATATAATGTCTGAAAATGGGATATACCCCCCAAATGGTTATTTTTCACAGGGATACCGATCGTCAACCAGTGGAAATGTCCTTTTCCCGCCATTTTCAGACCTTTTTTTGTCGACCCATTTTGAGCCTCCTCCACGATCGAAAAGAGCTCTTTATCCAGCTCCTGTGGATGAACTTGGGATCATGCTTTGGGATGGATTTGGTTTGATGAAAACGGCCGGCTTCAACTCGTTTCAAGCTGGAAAAAAACATGTTAAAAACAATTGGTCGTTTCTCAACCCAACCCAAGTAGGGTGGAAAACGAAACCAGCAACCAGTTTTTGCTTCTACCCCTCATGTTCATTGCTTAGCAAACCCAGTAAATTGCCCATGTTGGTTGATATAATATGATAAAATCATAACAACCGGACAATCTCAGAGACCCTGGCTTTCGCCAATATAGCTGCAGGTTCAATGATGTGAGATACATCCCGAAGGTTTGGGAAGTCCTACCCCCGAGAATCTCTCTCATAAAACTGAAGTTGCATCTCAACGATTCAAGGGGAATTTTCCCAGAGGTATGGTATAATTGGGCCATTGGCAGGAATATTCGAAAGCAAACAATCAGAAATGCCCCTTCTCAAAGAAGTTTTCGATTTTGTCTTCTCAACCTTGGCGCGGTGCGAATGCCAGACCGAATCTCAAGACCCCCAAGGTGTCTTGACAGGGGGGACAGCAGTGTGTTTAATGTTCATCTTGTCCAATATCCTGCCGATTTTTAATGACAACTGCAATGAAAGGAACACATCTTTCCATCCCAAGCATCAACAAGAGCGTGTGTGTGTGTATTATATGCATATATATACATATATACATAGAATATATATATATACATAGAATATATATATATACATAGAATATATATATATACATAGAATATATAGATATATACATAGAATATATAGATATATACATAGAATATATATATACATAGAATATATATATATATACATAGAATATATATATATATACACATAGAATATATATATACATAGAATATATATATATATACATAGAATATATATATACACATAGAATATATATATATATATACATAGAATATATATATATATACATAGAATATATATATACATAGAATATATATATATACATAGAATATATATGTATATATATATACATAGAATATACAATATATATATACATAGAATACATATATACATAGAATATACATAGAGAGAGAGAGAGAATATATATATAATTATGTACATATATATATATGTATACAATTATGTAAATATATATATATACAATTATGTAAATATATATATGCAATTATCAACATATATATATATAGTATATCGGAAAGGCTTCATGAAGTCGTGCAACTACTACTTGCTTTCGCAGATGATGGCAAAACAATCCCCTCGTCCTAAATGTGTCATAGCACCAGGAAAAGATTGCGCAATACCCCCACACATATGATCATCACAAATCGAGGAAACAAGATTCCTGCTGAAAATGTGGTGGTACTGGGGAATCAAATGCTCCAATACCGAGGGTACTGAGGTTCCTAGTACCGAATGTATTGGGGGTTCTAATGCCGTGAATATGAGGGTGTTAAATACAAGTATTGGAAGTCACCATACTGCGGGCCCTTGTGGGCCAGGATATGGAAGCGACACTGAGGCGGTTGTACGAGTCCGTAGCACGTTGTAGCAATGTTTTTTTGTCTCAATCGCCTAAGGTGAGAGTGTTTCAAATATCCAATTCTAGATTTTCGAGGTGTCAGAAATGAGGCATCAGTGAAACGACTCTTGTCATCACAGCTGCAGCTACCCAGGTGAAGCCAAGGGAGGGCGAAGCCGAGGTGATTACTAGCCGACTACGGTTCGGTACCGCGGTTGCATTGCTTGCGTTGCTTTCGTTGCTTGGGCACAAACCTTGCACAGGTGGTGTCAAGGTAGTGCTGGGTAGACATTTTGCCCTTGGTACCATAGTTGGATCTGCAGACGGCCCATCATTGCATGGTCCAGACGTGACCGCCGGGTAGTAGACCACCTTCGCTGGCCCTGTGCAATTCAACGTTTCGTAATTGCTGATTGTTATGCCACTCCCGTTGCACGACTGCATGGTGGAATGTTGAGCAGCAGGAAAAGGCGTCTGGCAAATGTCCAAGGGTGCGAGGACGGTGCTAAAGCTGAAGGTGCAATTCTTCATCTTATAGATATCAAGCCTCCAGCTGTCCAATGTCACCAGCCGCTTTTGTGTCCAAAAGCCCGGCGGGCTGGACGAATTGTCACAGCGGTAAAACTCGACCATTGATTGTCTCCGAACCTCAACTGTGCTTGTGGCACAGCAGGCATAGGAATGGTTGTCTGGAAGGCCATTATAGAATCTGTGAAAGGCAAAGTCTCCCTCGAGTTCCAGGGTGGCAAGGGTGTCAGGAATCCAATCACCATTCATGTCCTGTCCGGAGCAAACACCAACAGGTTCATAGGCAATCACTCCAGTTACTGGATCGCCACTGCAATCGCTACTTCTGACAAGCTCGCTGATCACAAACTGCTGTTGGGCACCTACGAGAAAGGCCATGGCCAAGATCTGAGTTCCGCCCAGCAGCATCTGGTCAATTTCCAAGGCTACTGAAAAATGGAGTGAGTCGGAGTGAGAAAGAGTCGAGCCTGAATATCACACAATTGAAACATGTTTGCTGGACCACATGCAGACTCACTAGGGCATTTCCAGCACACGCCCTCTGAGACACTCTGCTGCTGTTTTATCTATCTTTCAATCTTCTGCTCTGACTCACTTGGGTGCCCGGGCAGAAGCTATCAAGGAGGACATCGGTGAAGGCGTAGCAAGGAGGCGTGGCCCGTTTCACGCGGCGGACCCCCAAACTCTAGACTATAAACGCATAATGACCAACTGAACTTTTGAGATGGTCTAAGCCACAAACATATCACGGGAAATCATCAACACCAAGGAACCCACATTGACCATCAACATAAAATCATAACAACCGGACAATGAAACCTTTACTCCCAACAATCCCCTTTGAACCTTTTTTTCACATACGACTTACTTCCTAGGTCCCAGGGGAGTATAAACCTCCAATGGGGTTGGATAAAAACAGTCCACTGCAGCATCAGCCAGCTCTCCTTGATCTGCTCCTCAAGTCTGGCCAATTCATCCGCACTTGGGAGGGCCTCAAGATTTCTCATGTTTGACCAGGCAAAAACCCATGGTTTTAGGTACAGTGAAGCCCTTCTTTATAGGAAAACACCTATCTGACCCCATTTTGGGGATCTGAGGATCTCAGCAACAATCCTAAGTTCCTGGGAGATGGCGCTGTGATCTTTCGGAATGTAAAAAAAATGACATCTTGAAACTTATCATCCCCCTGATATTATTTTCTTTACCTCCTAGAATCTCCTGATTGAGTATTGGATCTATTATGATCTATTCATGTACTCATGTTAAGGGCTCCTTTTTCGCATTGGAAGTATTTTTTTGGGCCATGGGATTACCATGATTCGTTGCGGGATTCAACGGATTGCCACACCGTGGATTATAGTGGATTCTTCATGCTGGATTTCTAGCCTTCCCCAAATTGACGACCCTGAAAATAGCCCTTAAGTGGAAATTCATCTTGGTTTATCCCCTATTTGGCAGGGTCATGCAGGGTCCATGTTACAGTTCTGGGAGAGTAACCAGCAAATCCCATGCTACCATGCAACCAGTCTGAAGTCTGTCACCGACCCCGTGCCTCTCCCTCGGGCAAGATCATCCCTGCCTACCCCACCCGGGTCCCGCTGATGCCACCCTCATTTCACCATATTGCTGACCGTTGTTGACCGAAGTTTATCGCCTAAACGACTATGCAATTTGGGGACATTTACCCTCTGGTAAACTAACATAACTATGGAAAATCACCATTTTTAATGGGAAAATCCACTATAAATAGCCATTTTCAATAGCTATGTTAAATTACCCACAGGACGAGGGGTTGTCCGAGGGGTTGTCCCGAAGGGACAACCCCTCGTCCTACGAGGGTATGGCCCGGAGGGCCATACCCGAGAGCGGAGCTAGCAACCCATTGGTTCCATCATTCCAGTGCCAGGGGATTTCCTTGTCATAACATTTCCTTGTCATAATCTCCCGGCCCCATGGAACATATACGCATACCTCTACTAGGGGTTTCATATAGGGTATAACATAAGTTATAAAATCCCCCGGCCCCATGGAACATATATGCATACTTCTATTAGGTGTTTCATTTAGGGTTTACATAAGTTATAAAATCCGGACTCGCCAAAAAAGTCGAAAAGATTGAAAAAGTGGAAATGGCCCAAACGCGTGAAGTCCGCAGAGGGTTCACTTTTCTGACTGATTTTTCCAAAAAATTGTCTTAGACCACGCTAACTCACAGATGTACCAGAGTCATAAAACACTGCACCTGCGCAGAGAAATGAGCCTCCCACTGACGTTCATACGACCATTCCGGGACAACCCTCAGTCCTGCCCGTTAAATTACCAGAGGGTACGGACAATTGTTCAGAGCTGCTGCGTTCCCAGCTGCCCACAAATGCACCAATAAACAAGCGGGAACACCGAAATCTGCACAAGACATTGGGAAAAAAAATGCATCAACAGGCATGTTCATCTTCTCTGACCCTTAACTTGCCAAGTATCACAAATCTAGCCGAAAACATGATGCTCCCTGTGTCCACCCCATGTCACCCAGGTCGATGCCTTAAAATTCTCGAGGCTTTGCGATCGTGATTGGTAAAGACGTAGGTCGCGCACAGTCTTGTTAATGGCCTCGACTACCCAGTGGGATCAGAACTTCCCAATGCTGGAGCCAGTCACAGACACTTTTGTTGATGGCATTTTGAGTGTTCAACCATTCAATTTTATGTGTGACCCTTGATATTATAGGCCAAATGTCCATATACATATATATATATATATTATTAGTAAAATGAATATATATATATATATGTGTGTAATGTACATATATATATATACATAATGTGTATATATATATATAATGTGTATATAAAACGTAAACATATAAATATATAGAATGTGTATATATATATAATGTATATATAATGTATATTTATATTTATATATAATGTATATACATGTGTAATGTATATATATATATATAATGTCTATATGTAATGTATATATATAATGCCTATATATATATAATGTATATATATAATGTATATAGATAATGTAGATATAAAGTACATATATATATATAAGTTATATATATATAATGTATATATATGATGTGTATATATAGATAATATAATGTATATATAATGTATATATAATGTATATATATATAATGTATATATATAATGTATATATATAATGTATATATATATAATGTATATATAATATATATATATAATGTATATATATAAAAGGTATATATATATATACATATATATATAATGTATATATATATGATGTGTATATATATACTGTATTTATATATAATGTATATTTAAAATGTGTATGTATATATATAATGTGTATATATATAATGTATGCATATAATGTATGTATATATAATGTGTATATATAATGTGTATATATAATGTGTATATATAGTGTGTATATATATCATGTGTATATATATATATTGTATATGTAGTATATATAATGTTTATATATATATAAGGTTTATACATATAATGTTTATATATATAATGTTTATATATAGAATGTATGTTTATATATATATAATGTTTATATATAGAATGTTTATATATATATAATGTGTATATATATATATATGTAATGTATATATATAATGTATATATATATATATAATGTGTGTACATAATGTGTATAAATATATATATATGTAATGTATAGAATATATATATATATTATATATATATATAATGTGTATTTATATAATGTATATATGTATATAATGTGTATATATTTACATCTAATGTATATATCTATAAATATGTATTTATATACATATACACATAGAATGTGCATATATACATATAGTGTGTATATGTATATATATATATATATGTATAATATCAAATCATAAAGTTTGCCAGTGAAACTCACCATTTCAAGGCTCCACCAGCTCCCCTCCTGGGCGCCTCCTTCATGGCTTTGTGGGACAAGTAGGGCGCCCCAGACTGGTCAGAGGTCACCTGGATCTTGGAGGATCATCCCAGATCGTCACGGCTTGGTACTCAGCTGTTATCTGCTTGGTGGTTGATGGTTAATATAATGGTTAATAATGGTTAATAATGGCTAATATTAATGGTTATTATATGGTTAATGATGGTTAATGATGATCTGCTTGGTGGTTGGTTGACCTACCCCTCTGAAAAATGATGGAGTTAAAGTCAGTTGGGATTACTATTCTTATTATATGGCTAACCAATTAGTGGTTAATGATAATCTGGTTGGTGGTTGGTTGACCTACCCCGAAAAATGATGGAGTTAAAGTCAGTTGGGATGATGACATTCCCAACTGAATGGAAAAATAATCCAAATGTTCCAAACCACCAAGCAGTTATAAATGGTGTTGTTCCATAATTGGCTATGTTAAATTACCAGACGTAACATATTGTATTAATCGTCATCCAATTTTAGGTTGTGCCCGATTCTGACCCATACCCATTTATTTGAAACTAGTAACCAAATCAAATCCTTTAGGGATTTGATGGGCCCAGAAAATAAAATGTTCCAAAATGGTTCAAAAACCTGAAGTTGTTTGAAGTGGGTCAGCTTCTTGAAAACATCAAATTAATCAGATTGGGAGTGTGATCTGCACCCAGCTAAGGCAATTGACTAGAGGACACAGGCGGGCAGACCTACCCATACGACCCTGGGTGGGAAGAAGCGCAAAGCACAAAGTCAGTGTGAGTCAGTTAAAAAAAACTACAGACAACATCAAAAATGGTGGTTGGGTTGTTTGGTGTCAATCTGTTTGGTTGGTATTCAGCTAGCTTCCCTCAATGGCTTTGGTACCTATAAATATTTTTCCATAGTACCTAGGATGGTTAAGTAATAACCATAACAGATTAAATCTTATATCTGGTTATATCATGGATCTTACATCTTATATCTATCATAACTTAAGATATAGTACCATGGAGTAAAAAAATCTTCTTACACCTTCCATAGGATCTGATGCCAATCCCAAGGCCTGCAAGGCGAGCTTTCGTCCAAATCTCATTTTTTCGACGGCACCTGGATGGGACATGTGAGACACAAATGTGCATGTGTCAAACATATCTCCAATATATATATATATATATGTATATGTATATGTGTATTTATATATATATATATGTACATACCTACAAGTACAAGAAAGCTCCAGAAGAATTGCATACTATGTATATGTATATATATATATATGTGTACAATGTATATAATATGTGTCTTAAGAGTTCATTCAATCACAAAAGGGAGTTCTCCGGCATGATCATTGACTCCACGTACGTGGGAATGCTGTCCATTCCACTTCCCGATGTTTGGGTCTGAAATCCCCATTGTTGGTGAAATATGTTATGAAAGATCTGTAGACCCACAAAAAATCATAGCTCTATATGGTGTACAAGTGTTGATTAGAAAATCCGAAAATCCCATGGTTTTC